TTGATTTAATGTAAAAAAAGCAAATTTTAAAAAATTACGAATATTTTCTCAGATAAATGCACAAAATGTAAAAAAAAAATTAAAAATTTCAATAAAATAAAATAAAATTTAAAAAACTACACTTTTTCGCACTTTATTAAATCTCTCAGTATTATCAAATCCTGAATTTACATATCGAATAATTTTTCAATAAAATTAAAACAATATAATTTTTATTTTTTAGGGAATGTTTCATTCGTTGTTTGCCGTGACAATGCAAGCGTGAGCCTGTATCAGTGTATCACACATACGCACACCGCGCGCAGCGGCTGCTGTATAATCGAACATGTGGCAAATTATAATCGCCAACTTATTCTTTGAACTATACAAAGTGAAACTGCTTCACTGAAACATGGGTATATGACAATCAACCGTTATTAGAGTAAATGAGACAATAAAATCCAGAGACTGTTTTTATATGAATCCATGAGGCTACATGAAAATAGCACATATTTCGTAAAATTCGCATGAGGTAATAATCACTTCTATTGTTGTTGCGCTTGTGTTACATGAACAGCAAACAACAATAGAAATGGATTCATGTAAAAACAGTCTCTGATAAAATCCATGCAATAATAAGAAAACAATATGCTTATCGGGCAAGATGCTTCGGGTGCTCGGATTTTTCGGATATTTCGGACGTTCGGTATCATGGACGTCCAAATCCGATTGGCCCGAAATCGAGTGTTTTTTGGAAATTATTTGGAAAATCTCGCGAAAAAAAGAAAAAAATAATGTTAGAACCATTTGTTTTCACTTTTTGTATCAGTTAAATCTTCTCAAAAAAATATGGGGACCTTAGACCCGAAAATTCAATTAATACCGAGTGCCCGAGTTCGGGGAATCACGGGTTTCGGTAAAAAAAATAATTTCGGGTCGGGCTTCGGTCGGTCACTGGCAAGACACAGGAAATTTGATCGGACCTCAGGCCGATTTTTCCATCCCGTTGCGACCTCTGATCAATGCGGATACATACTTTGATTCGTTACTGTGCAAAATAATCTTTAGTTGCGTCAAATCATATATATTAATTTGATAACTCCTAGAGGCTCTTATGTATTCGATCATACAATTTTATACACAATATTCATATAGTTAAATATCGACAGTTGATTGCCATATAGTTTAATTATTACTTTTCCGCACACACCTTGTGTGTATGGCATAACACGATAACTTTCAAACAAGAAAAGTAATTCAAAATCTGACTTGCCGAGGAATAGAAACCATTAGATTTTGAGCGACTTTGGTTGATAGAGTGAAGTGTCATGTCTGGTGTGATGCCCATGGCCATCCATGGGAAAAATTCAACTTTTCTTCCAAAAGTGATATTTAGTGTATTCTTAAACACTCAAAAATATGTATTGAGGGGTTTTTGGGTACGAGAAAACCGAATATGAAGTTAGTTTCGCGATGCAAATAACTTTCGACACACTTTTCATACAAAAATTTTAAAAATTTTGGATTTTTGTATGGAAGCCATGCCTGTATGATATCGTAATGAGCTGAAACTTTGCACAGGTTATTTTTATCACACAAAAATACCATTCCGAGAGTTTGAAGACATTTCAACGCATATTAGGGGTACCTCCCTAACAAAATTTTGGATTTTTCGCTCAAAAACGAAATTTTGTATGGGAAGTACCCTTAATATGCATTGAAATTTCTTCAAATTTTCAGAATGTTAACTTTTTGTGAAAATAAAGAGGCTTACGTACGCAAGCTGACTTTTCCGCATGGAACCGAAATTTTGGGAATAAACTGATATCATGGTCTTTGTATGGTTGCAGTAAATTAAATTACCGTGAAAACTTGTGAATATTATTTTCTAATCAAAATAAATAATCACACCAAGTTTAAAGAAATTTCAATCCAAAAAATAGCCTGTTCAAAGTTTCAGATCATTACGGTACCACAAAGGCAAGTCTTTCATACAAAAATGAAACTTTTTGTGGATTTTTGTATGAAAAGTGTGTGAAAAATTGATTGCATCTTAAAACTAACATCAGATTCGGGTTTCTCCCCCCACTACCAGCCGGTGTATATTTGTATGAGATTGGAGACTTTTTTTTGCGAATCTCGCTAATGAGCGCCATCTGATTTTAGTGTGAATTAGATGCAAAAACTGAATTTAATTCTGTAGCATTGAAATGAAAAAGTGAAAAAACAACAACAATAGCACGGCCACACAGAGCTGTACATCTATGCGTGCTGATGCATACATACACATATACGCTTTCTTCATTCTTTCATTCCATTGCTATACGTATCTCACTGGTCAACAGATCTATGTAGCCATGTTACTGTTGTTGTTTTTTTTTCTCTTTTTCGATTCAATTCATTGTAACTAAATTGAGTTCAACTATGGAATACAAGATGGCACAGATGAGGGGAATTCGCATTTTGTCTCTTCATAGGCTTAGCCGGTTGCCCACTACACACTCTTCAGAGTCTAAGTTTTACACCGATCAATCAATGTCGTTGAAAATTTGACCAGATTTATTCCTCGTAGTGCCCAATCATCCCGTGAAGTCACATTTTGAATTTCATGTCTGAGCACGAAACCATCGTGCCACCAAAATGTTTGAGAAATGATCAAAAATGTATGGATGTGGGATTGTGGGTACTCCATTCGGACCAAAAAAAGTTACATCGGTCAACAGATATTGCTCAAAAACTAATCAGCACGTCTCCTAGTAGTCCCAAATCATCCTGCAAAGTCAGAATTTGAATTGAGTTTTTGGAAGAAGATTTATCGTGTTAACAAATTTTGACAACACGCCACAGGACACAGGACACATCACACACAGCGACGCACATTAATATGCCCCAAAATCATCTCCAATCGTGTTTTCCACATTAAATATGCATAGAAAACATGTTTTGGGATGACTTTAATTTTTTGGCCTAATACAATACCTTCCCTACACTAGGTGTGCGGAAAAGTAAAAATAACATCTGCAAATTTTCACATGATTACAATATCATACAGGCAATGAAAAGTCTATCAAAAATTATTTGTATCGCAAAACTTGTATCAGATTCAGTTTTCTCATGAATTCATATTTACCACAGCAATGAAACGACAACAACAATAACACATATTTTTACAGTCAAAATTTTGATGTCAAATGGTGTCGACATTGGTGACGGTATTTTGAAACAGACTGTGTAATCCATATTCATCGTATATGATCCTATGTAAAGTTCTATACTTGATCTAGTTCACATTGACGGTTCAAATCGTTTATGTCCACTAGCGTGGACATGGACTGTGTGTTTCTTCTGTTACATGTACGTTGTAATGGACAAGTATAGTAACATGGTGTCGTTCAAATAAATTTGAAAATCCGTCCACTCGTGTCGACACCATCTAGCACGGTAGTAGGGATTTCATTGCTGTGATATTTACGGTAAAAGATACGTAATAAATTCATGTTGTGGATCACAGTGCGGAAAAGTTCATTTTACGGATGTAAGACATTTTATTTTTTATGTCAATAGATGTGTTTTATTGTCGCTTGTAAATCAAATTATTGAATGTAGTATTGAACATCATTTGGATAAATCATATAGAATTTTACTGCGCATTTCGTTCCTATTTTTAAGAGCAGAGCGAATCGTGGCATTAGCACCAGTGTTTCATATATCGCTATCAGTATCCGTAAGATAACTGAGAGGGATATATTCAGCCAGATATGAAACTGTCTAAATTAGACATTGGAGATGGTAAGCGTGTCTAATGCAATTTTGACACAATTTTGACACTCATATCTGGCTGAATATATCACTCTCAGTTATCTTACGGATACTGATAGCGATATATGAAACACTGATTAGCACAGTTTTTTGATGGTTCAGATCTTCGCGATATTGTCAAAAAAACTAATGGTGAGAGTAGTTCAAAGCACATAACATTCCAGATCTTAAACAGAACGAAACTGACTCATCGATAAGTATAACGTATGGATTTATTATCAATCTGTGTGAGTGACAGGTTCGATGACTTCAATTACAAAAACAATTTTTACTATTTGCTCTTAGGAGAATGGAATGGGACAGTTACAGACATCCGAAATATGAATATAGACTTCTGTTTCTACAAATGATTACTCTTGAGGAAAGACGCAAGATGGTGCAAGTGTCTTTCATCTTCAAAATTATTCATGGGGATAGGAAGTCAACTTACGTTTCGAACACTATGAAATGTTATGATTCAGCGTATGATGCCCGTGCAACTCCACTTTTCGATTTTCCAATTAGAAGGAATAATTATACAAATTTTGAACCAATTAATTATATGCTTTCAACTCTCAATAATTATTATGCCAAACAGATGCCTAACGGTGATTTAAATTAATCGATTTAGAAGTAAATTTATCAACAGTAGAATTAAGAATTGAAAATTATTTAAAGCAAAACGCATGAAATCAAAAATTATTCAACAATGAGAATGGAATCATTATAAGAAAACTATTTGAAAACGTAACATATAGAAAATATTTAACTTCTACATGAAAATTAATAATGGAGACTTAAACATCAACAAAATCTCTCTGAAATTCAGAGTCTGAATTGCTTTAAAAAATGAAAGAAATGTATTTATATTATTTCGAATAAACCAACAAGGCGAAGGAACGCTGTACGGTGCAAAATGAGCAATTTAAACACGGCCGGTAGTATTCATCAATAAAACCCGTCACACATATACTAATATATCTTTTTTTTGTATTATTGATCATGTTTTGCCGGGGTATAGCTTCTATCTAAAATATAGTGTGACTTCAGACAGTGGCTAGCGTTCGGCGCGAAAGTATCACTTGATATATTGGCAACATGGTAGTGTATAAAAGTGTGATTTTAACTTTGCGAATGAAAATAAATTTCTTTGTTCCGCAATACTAACTTATTTTTTTCTGTAATTTTCAAAAGAATTTTCAATTTTTGTTGGCGTTCTCAATATTTCTAAGCTTTGCAAATGGATATAAAATTCTATTTCTGGCACCAATGAATGGAAAAAGCCATTTTTTGTATATATCATCATTCGTAAAAGCTTTAATTGGACGCGGTCATGAAGTTACATTTTTGACTAGTAATTCATTGCGAAATTTAAATTTGCCGAATTATACAGAAGTGCTAGTGGATCCGCCACTTGAAATGAGTGCAATGGGTAAATGGATTGTTTAAAAAAAATTATCAGTTGACTTGAGTATATTATTTTCGAAATATTTGTAGTAAAACAAGATGATTTTGTGGACATGGCTTCGGCCTCTATTTTTTCGTGCGTTCATTTGTTGAGAGATATGCCAAGAATATTCAATCCATATACACTTCAAAATGCAAATATCCAAAAATTCATTCATAGCACAGGACTTCACTTTGACTTAGTTATCAATGAAGAGTTTTACGGTGACAGCATGTTGATGTTTGCTCATAAATTCAAAGCCCCAATTATAACGATTTGTAAGTCTGTTTGGATTTTACACTTTTATTACTTCTCGTGATATTTATAAATTTGTATGTTTAAAGGCCCATTCGGAGTTCCAGAGTACATTGATCGACAACAAGGCTTATTAACTCCAATTAGCTTTGTGCCACATTGGGTAAGATTTGATATTGATCATTAATATCGAAAAATAAAATGTGTCAAATTTAGATGTTACCATTTTCGGATAATATGACGTTTTATGAGAGATTCCTTAATCTCATATTGAATGCTTATGATTGGGCAGTGCGTCGATACCAATTTATTCCGACAGAAGAAGAGTATGTCCAAAAATATTTTGCTCACTTAGCACCATTACCGTCAATTGATGAATTACATAAAAACGTGTCATTGGTTTTGGTTAATTCACATCGTGCTCTCTCTCCACCGCGTCCTTCAATGCCAAGTAATTATCCCAATCAATTTTAATTCGCGCAGCTAACAATTAGTGTCATACATTAAGTGTCAACTTATCAATTTTAAACACAAATCTTTTTTACACCATTTACAGGTATAATAAGCATTGGAGGTGCTCATATAAAACCAGCCGAACCATTGCCAAAAGAAATTCAAACATTTATCGATGGAGCGAAACATGGTGTCATATACTTCAGCTTGGGCACAGTGTTAAAATCATCCAAGCTACCAAAAGAGAAACTAGACGCATTCCTTGGTAGGTATATGGCATTCCATTTTATTGCTCGACTTAAGATATTAACATTTATGTCATTTTAGGCACATTCAAATCTCTTAAGCAACGTGTATTGTGGAAATTCGAAGATGACTCAATCAAGAATGTTCCATCGAATGTTATGATCAAAAAATGGATGCCACAAAATGATATTCTTGCTCATCCGAAAGTAATTTTATTTATTTCACATGGCGGTCTGTTTGGTACATCTGAATCGCTCTACCATGGTGTACCACTGTTGTTGATTCCGTTCTTCGGAGATCAACATCGCAATGCACACCGAATTCAAACAGCCGGCTACGGTCAATTCATGCCATTTCCAGAGGTCAACAAAGACTCATTTTCAAAGACAATCAATGAACTCCTTTCCGACGAATCTTATTTAACCAAAGCTAAGGAAACATCAGCAATTTTCAAAGATAATTTGGTGAATCCAATGGACGAGGCTATGTTTTGGATCGAGCATGTGTGCAGATTTAAAGGCGCAAAACATCTGAAATCACACGCTATCAACATGTCATGGTTCACATATCTATCGCTAGATATTATTCTAGCTAATGTGGTCATATTATTGGCGGGTGTTTTGGTGCTTTACAAGATAATTTGTGCATTGGTTTCACGAAAGAAACAGACAACGGCACCTGGGAAGAAACAAAAGTGAAATGTATATGAAAGAGTGAAGCAGAGATTTTTTTTTTGTTAAAAATATTCCTTCAAATGCAGTGTACAAACATAAATCTTATTTTGATTGAATTTAAACTTTAATGTATCCGTACAAACAATATTTTTAATAAATTGGGTTGAAAATGTAATCTATCTTGATTGATTTGTTTTTCTTTTTAGCTTTGAGACTATTATAATGATAAAGCACCCAAATTCATGAGCGTATCATGAATCACTTCTTACTTTTTTTTGTTTATCGCAGAGCTGTCCCCAAACGTTCGTACTTTTATAACGTGTTAGTTGTTCGTACGAAGAATCCGAACATTTGATTTTTCACGAACGAATGAACGAACGCAACAAAGTTCTACGAACGAACGAACAAAATGTGAATAAAAAAACGCTACAAATGAACGAACGATTCGTTTGGAGGTGTTCGTGGACAGCTCTGGCTTATCGGAAAGCAAGAGATTTGCGGTAGTCAATGACTATACGTATTCAAAGTGACTTGCACAAAATATGAAGTGCTATTAACTGATTTCTGTCACGTAATGATGACGGTTGTGATCATTCGAATCACGATGACTCGGCATTCTAATAAAACCAAAAGCGTTGTTGCTATTTATCATCGAAAACTAGTTTGACATTCATCAATGTTTCAAATATACATTGATCAATCGTGCAGAGAAATACAAATGAAAAAAATCTTCAAAGTATTTAGTTTTTTTTTTCTATATGTGTACGTCATTTCGTATATATATATAACCTGCGTAATCGTTGCACAGATAAAATTCTAAAAATCATATGATCACATTATTTATATCACAATTTCCCTTATCAATTTATATTTGCCACTTACTCAAAGATGTTTCTTTGTGATAACGCTGGCTTATACTATTTTGGCAGCTCCTATCAATAGTGCCTATTTGTACACATTTCGATTATTTTACCGAGCATTTTTTTGTGAACTCCAATGTGAACAATGGTACAGCCACCTTACAAAGAGTACCAGTGTTTACATTGGAGTTAACAAACATTTTTTCATATTAATAATATATCGACAGCGTTTTCTAATCTCTGTGATAATGCGATGAATAGAGCAAAGATAGAGTAAATCCAAGAAAGAGTAATGTCTAAAAGCTATCCAGCTGTCAAACTACAATAAAATGTGAATTTTTCGAAACCATATAGATTTAACAAGGTTCTTTATGTCATGCCTAATCAAGAGGCTATGAACTTTCAACAATATTATTGCAACATTTTCCAAATGACTATTAATTAGTTATCAGGAAAAGCGATAACATTTTTTTCTGGAAAACAAATGTATTGTTGAATTGGTTATGTCAAGCATACTGGTTTTATTTTGATTCATCTTCAACATGTATGTGTGCGCCCAAATCAAATGCAGATAACAATTTTGTAACTTTCTCATAGCTAAAAAAGACTATAAAATTGTTAGTACTTGCCAACCAGTAGTCAGTAACTACTGAACGTGAAAGTTAGTAACTACTGATTGAAATTGTTTAATATTTTATTTTTTTTAATAATGGTAAGCATAACAGCAACACTTTCAAAAATAAAATTTTATTTTTTAACATATCTTTTTTTATTCGGCAGGATTTTCGTTACATTTTGTTATTATTCACTTCATTGACATTTTCTGATGCCTACAAAGTGTTGTTTATAGGAATATTCAATGGAAAAAGTCACTCCATGTTTTTGCAATCATTTGTAAAGTCTCTTTTAAATCGGGGTCACGAAGTTACGTTTTTAACCAGTCAATCATTTATGAAGCATACAAATTCTACAAACTATTCAGAAGTACTGATTGATCCACCTTTTGATTTGAAATCATCGTGTAAGTACCAAAAATACTGATTATAAAGGAAAAACATACTAACTTCAAAATTATTTCCACAGGGACTCAGGATAAGTTGACGGATATGACAGATTTGTCTTTATTCAAGTCCATTTTGATAACGTTGTCGATGACAAAAGTGATGAACGAATATGCATTTGAAAATCCAAATGTTCAAAAATTAATTCATAGCAGCGACCTAAATTTTGATGTCGTTATCAATGAACAATTTTTCGCCGATAGTTTCCTGATGTTTGCCCATAAATTCAATGCTCCAATTATTACGATTTGTGAGTTCTTTTTACTAAAAGTAAAAAATACGCCAACTTTTATATTGGACGATTTATTTGTGTTCATTCTTAAGTGGTGTTTTTAATAGTTTAATCAGTGTTTTGTACATTATAATTTGTTAGGTCCGTTTGGCATCACCGACCATATAGATCAACACATGGGTTTGATCACTCCAATAAGTAATGTACCGCATTGGATATTACCGTATACAGATAATATGTCATTCATCGAACGGTGGCATAATGCAGTAGCAAGTATTTTTGACTTTATTATGTATCGATTCGTCTATCTTCCGACCGAAGAAAACCTAGCAAAAAAGTATTTTGCTCATTTGGGCCCATTGCCTTCATTAAACGATTTATTGAATAGCATATCTGTGGTATTTGTCAATAGACATCGAGCTTTATCACCACCGCGACCAGCAATGCCAGGTATGAACTATCTCATATGATTTGATATTTTGTTCCTTTTCGATCTCCATTCATAAATTCCATAAAATTTTCTGTATGTTATCCAGGCACAATAAGCATTGGAGGTGCACATATCAAAGATGCAAATCCATTACCAAATGAACTTCAAACATTCCTCGATGAATCAACGGATGGAGTTATTTATTTCAGTTTGGGAACGATAATTGAAAGTTCAAAACTACCCAAGGAGAAAATTCAAGCATTTTTAGGTGAGTGCAGGTTTCATTTTCAGCCTAGACGATATATTTTTATCAATATTTTTTCATTAGATTCATTCCGGCATCTGAAACAACGTGTTTTGTGGAAGTTTGAAGATGAAACACTCGAGAATGTTCCATCGAATGTTATGATCAAAAAATGGATGCCACAAAATGATATTCTTGCTCATCCGAATGTAATTTTATTTATTTCACATGGCGGTCTATTTGGTACATCTGAATCGCTCTACCATGGTGTACCACTTTTGTTGATTCCGTTCTTTGGAGATCAACATCGTAATGCACACCGAATTCAAACGGCCGGCTATGGAAAATTCATACTATTCGCTGAAGTAACAAAAGAATTGGTATCGAAGAAAATTGATGAACTCATTTCGGACAAGACATTCTTGAACAGAGCAAAACAAACGTCGGCCATTTTCAAGGACAATTTAGCTCATCCAATGGACGAGGCTATGTTCTGGATTGAACATGTTTGCAAATTCAAAGGCGCAAAACATCTTAAATCACACGCTGTCAACATGTCATGGTTCACATATCTTATCCTGGACGTAATCTTGGCCAATTTGATTATTGCATTGGTAATCATACTCGTTCTGTATAAATTAGCAAAAAAATTGTTATCAAAGAACAAAACCAAAGAAGAATCAAGAAAGAAACACAATTAATTCATTTTAATAAGTTAAAATTGTAATTTCGAAGTGTTTAATTAATATTAACGTA